AATATAAATACATACAGATTATTACATGATTCTATTAGTTGATGGACTTACTTTTGCAGTGTATCTCATCTGCAACTTGTCTAACTCATCTTTCTTTCTGTTATTGTTTGTATATGGCTGTAAGAGCTGGTTGAGTCATATGAAAGACTTGGCCAGAACACTTTTGAGCGTTGTCGTCATCATCATCATCATTGCAGAAAACTTGATTTTCACGTGTCTATGTGTGCATATGTGTGTGTGTGCATGCAACTTTGTTGCAAGTTTAGCTTGACTGCGTTCTGTTTTGTTTTGCTCTTGGTTTATTGTTGTTATTTGGGCCCGGGTTAGTTGGTGCTTTGAACGTTTCTCACATGATTAAGCCAGATTGCTTACAGCTTGTTGGCTCAGCATCAGCATCAGCATCGGCATCGGCATCGGCATCTGCTGTAAGCTTGTTACACTGTTCTTCTTCTTCTTCTTCTGTTGCCATCAATTGTTTGCCTATTTATAGCGCATTCGCATCTTGGACTTTGACTCCCCCTTTGGTTAAGAACCATGTGCCCATGACGCAGCGCCTTTTGGCTGGCAGCGATTGCTGCTACGATTTAACAAACACGCAGACAGATGCACTCGAGCGGCTGTTGGCTAGATTCAAGCATTGTTTAATGCCAAAGTGGACTAGCTAGGAGATGCAGCTCGTGCCCGCATATATAGGCATACGTATATGAATATACGTATGTAATGTATGTATGTRTATGTTGCCTACGGAGTATGACGAAATGTTCGAGGCACTTGAGTTTTGGTTTTTAGCTGCGCGTTGGATTCTTGTGCCATGTGGTCTCAATTGCCAAATGCAAATATCAACAATGAAACAAATTTTCATTATTTGCCTGACAAAATGTTGCGCCAATTGGGCAAACAATGCGCCAAGCAGATGCCTCGGCTCGATCGGATGTTACCTTGATGTACGTACGTATGTTTTGTGTTATTATGTATTCTTGGGCAGGCGCCCCGTTGTGCAATTGGCTATATGTTGATGAATGGTTGACCTAGTCGAGTGTTTGTTTGCTGCCTTTGGCATTCTGATGTCTCTTTGATTCAATTTATGCTAATTGCTAATTGCATAATAATTCAATTGAACCAACTGCAGTCTTAGTTACCGACTAGTCAGCCACATTTCCGCATTGTTAAGCAGTTGCTGCTTAAAAATGCTCCACAACTACTAATGCTGCTGCTGCTGCTGTTGTGCTGCTGCTGCTGATGTTGCTGCATCTGCATTCAATTCAATTACACAATTTCTGTTGGCTCTTTGGTAATGCAAATTTGGCTGCGCTCGCTGCTGCATTCGCTCTTTAATTAAAGCCACAAAAGACTGTTTGCTGGCTGCGGCGATTTGTTCATTAAAAATACTTTATAACTGGCTAGCCAGCCACATGGTTCTTCTCTCTGAGGCTGTCTGTATGTCTGGCTGTCTGTTTGTCTGTGTGTCTGTCTATGCATCCAGACCACTGGGCGTATGCTGTATAAGCAATGTGTGTTGATTACTCATACGCCCCATTCGCAAAGGTCGTAGCATAAGTATTCTCACTTTTGTAAGCAGTTTGCTATACAATTTATGTGATGCGACAATGGATTCATAATAAAATTTAGAAAAATGAATTATTATATATAGATAAGGAAATATAATGTTTGATAAAATTAATAAATCCGCAGAATTTTCAGCAACAAACTTAGTTGTATTTCTGCAGCCAAGTTGTGGATTCAATAAACTTTTGTTATTTCAAATTGATAACAAAATTAAGTTTTTAATATAATGCAGTATTGTGATTAAGCAGTTTCAAGGAATTTTGTAAAATATGCGTCTTTTAATAGAGTAAAGAAGATTAATTGACTCAAATATATAAGCCAGGTAATGACAAAATAAATAAATTTGTAAAGGTAAAACTCGTCCTAGAGCCATTTAGCAAGGGAAGTATAGCCTATATCATATCCTTGCCATAGCAACAATCAGTTCGCTTTCTTTGTTTAGGTAGCTTGCACAAAAAACTTTTTTTTTTCATATAGTCAAGGGCATAAATGTTTCGGTTTAGACTTACTTCGCTTACAGCTCCAACAACTGAAAACAAAAAAATAAACAATAACAAGAATAGTTGTTAATTTTCACTTTGTCAGCTCGAAAAGGCGGAGCAGCAAAAGCCAAACGAAAAACCAATTTCAACCATTTCATTTTCAAGTTCATGGCTAGAAGCAAACGAGCAACTACAACAGCAACATCTACAACAACAACAACAGCAACAACGGTGGCGCGTCGATAGCTGCAATTTTTGAATTAGCCAAATTACTATTATTTAGCACAGCGCACACACACAGATATAACTTATAAATGTAAATGTAGATATATCATACACACAGACACAGACACACACACATTTTAGATACACTCGAAATTTTGTTAGCCTTGTTTGTCTGGCCTCGAGAGCTGTGTAGACCCTTGGCCAGGGTCTGGCTTTTACGTGCTGAATGATTTAATGTCCTTTTTGGCAGCCGCGTCACACCTATCCCCCATCCCCTACGACCGAGGGTAGCAGCCCCTGACACCCCATTGCCACAGCCATTGCAGTTGAATGTTTTTGTCTAGACTGCGGCAAATGAACTTTTTTTCCGCTCAAAAAGTGAGTTTTGTTTAGTTTTGTGTCGTTGGCTTTTAGGAAGTTGGTGGGACTTGGAACTTGGAACACGCCACTCCCTTGGCGGGGTCACTGAAGGACCTTCATACGTCCATTTCCGCTCCGGCGTTTCAATTTATCGCGCCGCGACATTTTGCACTTTAGTTTCGCGTGTTTTGGCTGTCGGCTTTGGCTCTCGACTTTTGTTTTCCTTTTTGCATGCAGCATATTTTTAGCCAAAATGATAAAAAATTTTAATTTCATTTTGAAAGCGGATTTTCGCTTCGCGATTCGCCATCCGCCAATCGCAGTTGTGTGCTGACTTTTCCTTTGTGTGGGCGTACACGGGGCTGCAGGGTGAATCGCTTCAGGGTTCACAAGAGTTTTGTTTCTTAGATACCCTGGATTGCACATCTGAATATCTAAAATAGAAATATTGAATGAGTGGGGGACACAGATGTTTGCATTAATACAAATATATTATTGTATTTGATAGATGGAGAATCTTCTCAATGATATAAAGAATTAGATGTTCATATATCGATGTAGTAAATGTCATTCTCCTTTTTATATTTCATATAATTAAGATAACCTTTAATTTGTATTGAATAATTTATAGATCTATCATTTTATTTGTATATGCACTTAAATGAATATATATTCAATTCATATATTCAACTCGGAATGTTTGTTTCATACATCAAATAAATGCAAAAACGAAATGAATCTGGTTCACCTAGAATGTTACATTAAATTTAGATAATTTAAAATAAAAATTTGTATAAAATCGGCAATGCGATGCACAATTGTGATTATTGCTATATATTTGAAATTACATCTCATATAAACCAAAATTTGCTGTATTAATCTCTATGTTTTTGGCTAGGTTTTCCACATGCAAAGCAATTCGCTTAAAGACCAGGGATTAGATTCGTTTTATAGGATGTCTGATAGTTGGGCATACCCGTCATTAAAATCCATAACTGTTGTTGTTATTTAGCCCGCATTGCTTTTTGATATTTGCGTGCCTGAAACTGAACTTCAAAGCCAGCGATGCGCATAAGACCGATAAGGTTGCAAAAACTAAAAACCAAAAGCCAAAGACTGGGGCAAGGGTTGCATTGCATAAGCACATCAATCGTTGGACCAGACAGCCAGCCTGCTAGAAAGAGTTAGCCAAATAGAGGGGCCCGGWCCAGGGCCAGGGCCAGGGGGTATTTGCCGCAGGCCATATATCATGCAGAGTATTGGCCACTGGGGCTGCAGCTAGATAGCTGGAGCTGGAGTTGAAGCGCAGCCTAGACACTGTGTGTCTGAGCCGCTCATAACAACGGGCAATTAAAGTTCATGAATTGACAAGAAATTCACAATAAAATCAGCCACAATTATGGGCAAGAAAAAAAAAAAAAAACAAAGTACAAAAAAAGAAATGAAAACAAAACTAACAAAAATAGACAATCGAGCCACACGACAAGGTGGGTGAGGCATTACTTGGATTGAATCGGACGCACTTGGCTCGGATTTCACATTCTCCGAAAGAAATGCTGGCAAATCTCAGGCCCCGATTGGCCGGTCAGCGAGAGCCAAGAAACCCAAACATTATTTATGAGTTTTGAAGGTAATCCAAGCGACAACAAAAATACAACTAAAAATTGCGCACAAGTTGTGATTAAGGTCAGCTCGGCTGCTTGACCCGATTCGTATTGCTGAACAGCCGCAACAACAACAATTACAGAAAAAATACAACAACAATATGGACAGCTGAATTCGCTATTTAATTACAAACGGAAACAAATTAATTTGGAACAATTGAAATGAACCACATTATTGGGCTTGCCATTCAAGCCCAAATATAAAAGACCAAAAGTCGAGTCTAAAAATAAATCCGTGCATAATGAACATCATTATCATGATGATGATGATAATGGTCATAGTGTTGATCAGCATAATCTCGGCTCCAACAAAAACAGCCGCAATGCCAGCCCATGACTTGGACTTCAACTTCGACTTCAGCTCTTGGCTTGCTGTAGTCTGCTTGAAATGCTGTTGCTGACTTTGGGTAAACAACAATCGTTGCAATGCAACATGCTGCTATTTTTGCCAAATTGTTCAGTTCAGTTGGCATAGCTGTCCGAAATGGGCAATAAACGTAACGAATGTGGAGCAGCCACAAGAGCTCCCCAGTTCCATGAATGAAAGCAAATATTTACATTAATCAACTTTTCAAAATCAGTGCGAGTTTTTAGGTGCTGTCAAGCTCTATAGCCGAGAGGACTTCGAGCACATAGAACATATATGTATGTTTATATGTACGTATCATGCTCACAGGTATATATTGTTTCTTATAAAAATATCATAATGCTAATGATATTAATCATTTAAGTGATTCCAATAAAAGAGATTATTTAATATTATTATTATCTACACAAGCCTCTAAAGAAGAAATAGATTTATGAAATATATTAAATGATCTCTATAAAAGAAATATCTCCGATATTCTCGATATTTTTAGTTCGATATTGTGGACTGAGTGAAAAAGTTCTTCAATAACTGCAACGAAGAAGCTATAGCTGCTCTTCAGTTGCTTTCGCTCTGCCGTCTATAGCTGGGGGCTATTTCCGCTGCCCCTTCCACTCCTCCCTCGTGCCATCTCTCTCGCTCTCGAGTAGCTTATGAAAAAATATTGATTTGCATTTTCAATGCCGCAGCATCGGCAATGCGAGAAATTGCCAAGCACCAAAAGACAAGCAATAAAAGTTATAAATATTGAATAGGTCTTCGCTCAACTCAGTCCCACAGTTCCCTCAGTGCCCAAGCCCACCCAAAACAAAAGGAAAACAAACGCTTTGGGGGCCTACCTTGTGCATCGCTCCACGCCCACACGATGCTGGCGCTTTCATCAAAATGCACATAAATTTCAACAACTGCCTAGGCGAAGTGAGACGTTTGTAGCGCCAATGTCCATGTGGGTGGCCAGCCATTGGAACTGGACCCAGAGCATCTCTCCCTCTCTCACTGTCTCTCTCTCTCTCGCGTTGTTCATTTGCATCTTTTGATTTTATGTGCTGCCGTTGCTGTTGCCGTTGGATGCGATTTCTAAAAAAAAAGAAAACATTTGCATTTAATTGGACAGGCTGCAGTTGTAGAGGCCGATAGAGGGCGTGTTAAGGATTGGGGGGACTGGGCGTTGACAAGTTTCGTTTGTTCTAGTTTGGAGCGCCCCCTGGCGAGCAAAACACGGTGTTGGGCATCAATCAGCGACATCTTTGAAATGCTCGTTGTTGTTGTTGTTGGTTTGTGAGGCAGCGGCAAACGACGACAAGATGACGTTTTCAGAAATTAAAAGACCGATGAGTGAAAGTGAATTTTCGTAGGTGTTGTTGTTGTTGCTGCTGCTGCTGGTGCTGGTGCTGGTGCTGCTGATGTTGTTGTTGTTGCTCTAGCATTGCAGTTGTTGTCATTTCTTTTGCCTAGTTGTAATGTGTAATGTTTGCAACGCTAACAACAACAACAACAACAACAACCACAGCCACAACAAACATCGACAGTGTGGCAGCATCGTTGTCTTCGTCTTCGCCTTCGTTCGCGTCTTTTGATTGTCTTGCGATAGTCAATTGAGTTTTCATTTGTCAGTCAGTCAAAGCCAAACGTAAAAACGACCCAGCGTCTGTCAATGACACAGAAAGAGAGTTTCAAGCATGATATGTGGCTTGTTATTGCTGCTGTTGCTGTTGTTGTTGTTATTGTTGGTTTCTGTTGTTTTGTGTGTACTTTGCTTGTTGGCCACTTTTTTACTTAGTTGCACTGATTAGACTTTTGTTGATATATCTCTCTCGCTGCGTTTTCACTTTCGTTCACTTTCGGTTAACGAGCTCAGATTTCCATTGACTTATCTATGGGCACGTGCCTGGTAGTATGCCCAGCCCCCATTCAAACTGCCCATCGCCATCGCCATCGCCAAAAGGCCGCTAAAGATTCGCCAGATCACGTTAACCGGAAATAACTCGGCGCCAATCAATGAGCCAGCAGCTGCAACAGAATC